GCTTTGTTTACATTTAATTTATATTTATTTTTATAAAATTAAAGAAGACAGAGTCTTTTAAAAAGAAATATGATTTTCATTTCACCAAAAATACAATATAATTTTATATATTATATTTGAACTTTGCAATTTATTACAAATTGTGCTCAGATGACAGCCTCTTAAAGTGAGAGCGTATCCTTTATAACTGACATTTGTTATTGTATGCAACTATCCGGTGGGCTGTTTGTTTTTCCACCCGTTATCAACATAACATACACACAAACACACAATGTCAGCTTTGATTGCCCTTTGAAAATGCTTTTAAGAGTTTTATATTTGTTATTATTACACTCTTCAAAATTTATATCTCTCTCAAATTCTTTCTCTTTGTATACTTTCTGCACGTTTTTGAATTTTTGAATTAGCAGTTGGCAGACAACAAAATTATTTCATTTCTTCGTACTCTTTTACCTGCCTACCCTACTGTTTATTGAATGCAATGATAAGAGTGTCGGTTATTTTGGGGTGGTGTGGTTTTTTATTCACGTACACAACATTCTAAAAGGGCATCAAATGTTACTCAAATTTCAGTTCACTTTTTAATCAGAAATATAACAGCAGACTTTACTTTTACTTATAAAATTCTATAATTTTTATTTTAATTTACAGTTGGATTTCATCTTCATTGCAATTAATTCGCTTAATGCGCTTAGTTTTCCTACTTGTCAATATATAATATAATACTCGTACAGTCAAACTTCCATAACTCGAAGTACCATCTTGCAATTTAAAGATTCTACTTATGGAGACATCGAGTTAGAGACTTTTTTTATTTTTTGAACGAAACTAAAATTACATTTTTAGATATTTATTTATTTGAAATCAAATACAGCATAGTAGTTATAGTGATGTGAAACATTCAGAAATTAGAATTTGGGATTTTAATTTTTTTTCTTATGTTCAGTAAAAAAAGATTCCAATTTATTCCAGGCCTTATAGTGATCATCAGTTGGAGTATCATTTGTTTGTAAATAAAAATTCAGAATTTTGAATAAGTCTTCTACTTCATTCTTGGAAGGCTAATGAACAATTTCATCCACAGAACCGTCATCATCACTTTCCGTTGCGCTTACAAGCGGATTCACTATAATAAGATATACATATGTAGAGCTATAAAGCTCAATAGTATCGTTTGTATCATCTGTAGGAAATCTTGATGTACAAAATTTCAATGTCAAGCTCAATAGAATCGTTAAGGGTAGTATTGAAAGTTATTTTACATCACGTCATTTGCACAAAGAAGTAACATAAGAAAAGAAAATTTAAATATTTGGTTTGGAAAAAGGGACTTCCCCTAACACCAAAATAGATTCATACTAAAAACAAAAATTCGACTTATAGAATAAACTTTCCACAATCCCATTGGCATGTGACAACATTTTTATTTGAGTTATAGAAAAATTCAAGTTATGGAAGCAGAATTTTTAAAACTTCATTTTCTACAGAAAAAATAATGAAAATAAATGTTATACAAATAAATAAATAAATATTCATAAGTAAATAAATAAGCAAATACGTTATACAAAGATAACAAGTTCTTCTTATTTCATATAATTTTTTTAAATGGAAGAAAAGGCTGTTTTAGCCAATTCTTCTCCTGGCTTAGTTAAATAAGAAATCGCCATCTAAATACAATATATTATCGTCATACATATCAATGTATCAAGGTACTATTAAATACCTGATTTATATTCTAAAATGATCGAATATCACATGAAAACTTCTTGCCTAAAAAGAGATTTTATATTACATAATTTTGTATATATTAACTTTACATTAGGAGGGTACTTCATGGATCATAAGGATTCAAGACTAGGAAATATAAGCTCTATACTGTCTTTCATTAAAGAAATCGGACTTGGAGAAACACTTTAAACTGACTAAGGGGCACAATGGATCTTTTAGGTCACAGTGTACTATCCTTTTTTTATAATAATAATAAAATAATAATAAAACTTTATTTGAAACGATATACACAGTTAAGTATATCTAAACGTTAGGAAAATATATATAACAAAGATAACCTAATATACATTTTAAAGACATATTATAGAAATTGAATCTGCAAGAATCAATATAGAGGTGAAACTTTAAACATACTTGTAGAATTATTGTTAGAGCCGAACAACAAAAGATCGAATGAATGTAGCCTTTAATCTCGACAGACGGCTCAAACAATATTGATCGCCCAAGTTCCCCCAAACACATAAAATTCAATTCTATGCTCGCTGTAGGGTTAAAAAAAAATTATTAAAAGAAAGCGTTCAAAATAATGTTAGCAAAAAAGTTAGAAACATCTTATAATATAAGAAGATATGGGTAGCTCACATACCCAGTGTTCCAGACATCACTATAATGCAGAAAACACGATATCCAAAAACAATTTTTATAATAATTGTTCACAATTTTATTTTCGTAATTTTTATCAATTTTTTTAAAGTAATATATGTATATTTTGAAAGCTCATTTGTAAGAATGATGAAAAATACTCGATAGCTATGTAACGCATAGATAGTAGTATATTACATTATTAGTATTTCGTTAATCCGGACAACCCTTATAATTATTCTAATCATTGAAATCATGTTCTATATTTTAGCTGTGTTATAATTTTATATACTTTTATATTCCAGTGAGTAATTGGATAATTGATTTATATGTGAAACCCAAAGTTCCATTTTCAAAACTGTTTATTTTTTAAAATAAAAATATTTTATTTAAACAAATATTTTAGAAAAAAAAATTTTGTTTAAACAAAATAAACATTTATTTCCCATACAAAAATATACTCTTAAAAAATACTTTTTCAGAGTCCCTAAAAAGGGGTGATAAGTACCATCTAATAATATCAAATTTACAAGTTGTTGTCAACTTTAATAATTTTGTTTTGTTTTAATTAAAAACCATGAAATTTATTAAAATATTTTTTTCTGCATTTAAATTAAAAGCATTAAAATAGTTAAATTTCTAACTAGTGTGGGGATATCCCGTTTTCCGTATAGTGAAAGACCTTTCGTTATTTTTAATGTAACATTCTTTATTTAGAGAGAATATTTTTGGTATTTTTTCACTCGATTTGATTTTTCATCATTAAGAGGGTTTTTTATAACGGGTATTCGCTCAACCAAGAGTCTACAGCAAAGCCATTCCCAACGTATGTGTGAAAAACTAAAAAAATGTTTTTTGAAACTGAGGTTTTTAGTTCTAATTTCAAAGTATTCAATGTCTGACGAAGTCAGTTTCTAAAATCGAGATTTTCTTATTTAGAAGATTTATAATTCGTAAGCAGCCACTGTAGCTATACTACATTGAAGTTTAAAGCTGCTTTATATATTTCTAATCTATTTCCGAATTAATTGACATAAAGAATTTGAATTGACACTTAAGAAAAGAATTATTTTTTGTGAGAACTTATATTTATCTTCATTCGACTTTTATAAAGATATATAATAACTATAAAAGTATACGAATTTAGTCCAATTATTCTTATCGTTTAGCAAATAATCATGAAATTATAATTAGTATTCTCTATTAGCTTCATTTTTTGTAAAATCTTTCGATATATTTTATTTAATTCAAAAAATTACGAGGGTAGTACACCAAATTAGCAATTCAAAATACTTTTTGATACAAATGCAACCCACTATATAATAACCGTTAAGGAACTACAGCGCAGAGGACTAAGTATGCATTCATATTAATCATTAATGTAATTTTCATATTACTTAGAAATATTATTGATTTGAGATGTGGCTTACTATCCACTGTTCTCTTCACTACTATCCTATTCACTTACTATCATCTAGTAACTGTACTTACTATCACCTAGTAGGAAGACTTACTATCACCTAGTAGGAAGACTTACTATCACCTAGTAAATGGAATTACTATCATCTATTAAGTGGAATTACCATCACCTAGTAAGTGAACTTGTAATCACCTAGTAAGTGGACTATCACTTAGTAAGTGGACATATTTTTATTATACCTGTTTATATAAAGTTATATTGCAAATTAATTGTTTCCAATGGGTAGTTTTAAATTTTGTACATACTATATATAGCACATAAAACAACATCAGTGATATATTGCATTTTTTTGTACATAATTTTTGCAATTGCATTGCTGTAAACACAATAATGCAGTTGTGGTTCTCAACTTAATTATTCCTTAATTAGAAAATATTGCATATATTAAGTACTGAAAAAAAGATATGAAAGGCGAGCACAATGATAACTATCGCAATAGAATTAAATTACTAGAGAAAAGGCTTTGAAATATCTGAACCAAAGCTGGATATAAATGTTTTCAATATTAAAAAAATTGCGTCCCTTTTTCATTTCACTATTTTATCATTACTCATAGATAAAGTCGTTATGTGTTCTTTCTTAATTATAATATTCTATTTCAGGACGATAAAAACGTTATATCTAACTGTAGCTTATGCGTTTATTTTAGAAATAGAAATAGTACAAGTGATTTGTTATTAAGAAAAATCTACAATCAACATTTAATCAATCCAAATCTAATGCAATCTTGACTCAGTAGTTTAACGCTTGAGAATGCGTATAAAATTTGACGGCATTCGATGCCTAAAATTATTAGTCCAAAAATTATATACAAACAAAATTAGAAAAAATTTCGAAAGACCGTTGGTAAAACCCAATATAGCTGGTCTGATTAATCATAAAATCCAGTTAATTTTAAATTCCTGGTACTTGCAGTCTCAAAAAATTTTTTACAAAAAATTAAATACAGGAATTATTTTCAAGACCACTGATGATGGGTATTTGGCAATACTCGAAAAAGCTGTATGGTCAGCCAAAAATTCAATTAATTAAAATAATATAAAAATTTTTGTTGTTGTAGTTCATTACTGTTCGAAAAACCTTATTAATAAGTACTGTAACAATTTTAAGCAAAGAAATTCTTATTTTACAATACATATACTTTTATTTTAAAACATAAAAAATAAATTTGTCATTACAATACGAAATCTTACAATATTAACTTCATTATTCTTAAGGAATGATGTTTTTACTTTTAGTGGACATTGTAAAAATGCGAAATTTTCGCCTAAAATATTTGTTACATGCATAAAAATTCATATACCTAGCACACCCTACATATTATATTCCTTTACGATTAGTATTTGAGAAAACTATTTTCTTTTTCGGATTTAAATTTTTATTAATAGTTCCCTAATTGCATTTTCTATCGATGCAAATTGTCGTTAGACCTTTTTGAGTTCAGGTACAGAGGAAAATGATTCATAAACGTTTGCTCCAAGAGTTTTAATTTTTTCAGCTACAACATAGAAGGTTAAAAGTGATGTGGGGAGGTTCTGTGGCGATTTTGTATTATCAAATCCTCTGGATGTTATGCCACTTACAATTGGAATAACTTTTGCTAGAGCAATGTGTACATTGTTGATGTTAAGCACGGCGTTATTATTTTGGGAACTGTCGTCATCAACGTTTATATCTTTCTTTGTTTCGCGATTTGTTATTTGTATGGTTTCACTTAAATTTTCTGCAATAGCGTCGACTGCTAGTGAGAAACCGCGACTGATATTATTCGAACAGATATTTGTTGCATCTTCCGTTTCAAGCACATCCAATGTTTCATTGAACAATTTCTCTAATAACGGTCCATTCATGTGGAAATCTGATATTTTACGTGGTAGCAGATATTGGCTCATTTTTGTGTTTGGGTCGTCAGAATCACTATTAACTGCCATTTGAATTGACCAAAACAGTTGCTCAATATCTAAAAGTGTTAATTGTTTCGACAAAGGCAATGGTTTTAAAATGGCCATTATCTTTGAGCGTATAACACGTATTAATTCCTTGAGACCGCCATCATGTATGAAGTGACCGATAAGTGATAAGTATGTCTGTTTAAGTTCGTCATTTATTTGTATATTTTCTGAGGTAACATCTCTATACAAATATCCACCAAGTAGATTAAGTTGTACTCGTAATGCGATAGAAAGCATTGAGGTTGCATAAATAATTGTCGTTAAACGCGTAAAAGAAACAATTTTCATTTCTTCCCAGAGTTCCACCTTATTACTGGGATTTTGTCGTAGCTGTTCTAACAATTCCGTAGTACTGCACTCTTTCAGAATGGTATCAAGCAATTCCGTTCCCATTCCTAAAATAACTTGATTACACGTTCGCTCTGTGGCCTCGAAATGTTGCAGACGTCTTGTTTTTTCAAAGTATTCCTTCGCTTGCCGTTCTTGGAACTCTAGTAATTTGTTTTGTGCATATCTAATAGCAAAGTACGTGCCTCCTATTAGTATTCCTGTAACAATAAATTTTTTTCGGTGGCGTGTACCGAAATCACGCAAGCGAGATAGCATTTCTTAAGTTTGTGTGTGTCCTGCCGATGAAATTAGAGGGTGTGGGAGCTTGACCAAATGCGTGGTCTAGTTTTCAATTTGTTTTACTTTAATTATTGATGATTTCCTATAAAAAAATATATGTTAAAAAAATCTGTTAAAATAACACTTAAACAATGAAACAATGTGCAAATTACTACATGTGAACAAAGTACACTTTTATAAATTATGCTGTGCTAATTTTCTTAATAGTAAACCAAAAAGATTAGATTAAATTGCTCAATAAAAAAAATGAACTTAATCTTAGAACATGTAGTAACGATTTAGATTTTTTTATAGTTTATAACATTATTTAATTTTAATTAAAATGTTAATTGCTTATAATTACCGTCTATTTTTAATATTAAAGCTTATACATGTTCGGTTAACATGTAACAATAATTTCACAACTTTTGTTTTTAAGTTTTATACTAAACAATTGATTTTAATTAAAATTATATGTAAAATTTAGTTTTGTGTTTTTTATTTATATATTAAATGACCGTCTTTCCACCTCTACTTAAAGCATTTCCAAAGTGATTCCAAAATATTAATGACAACAAAAAATATTTGACAGCAACTTATTTTAGTGATGATAGATAATCGATTAAAATATGGCCATGACAGCCAGCGAGCTGTGTGCATATATGACATTTTGATGGATGTAATAATTTAAGGCGTTGTTAGTTGAGTTCGTGTGTGTAATTTGTTATTATTAAGTTCTTCTTAACTATAGTTAAAATAATAACAAAATTAAATTATAATTATTAAATTATAAAATTTTTACAAAACCATGATGCTAATTAAATATTTCCTTATTACTTTTGTATTTGTATTAGCAATACATAAAGGTAAATATTGCTAAGCCACTGACAACTTGAGGAATACATTAAAGTCTTGTGTCATGTTTTTGATATTAACAGGTGCTGCGATTTGGTGTTATCGTTGTACTTCAGCAACGCCTGGTTGTGGAGATAATTTTAATTGGAGAGGTATTGGTTTTTTAGGGGAATCATGTCCGGAAGATAATGACATATGTGTAAAAGTAGTGGAACGACGTGGAGGTGTGTAAAGGCTTTATATACGTTATAATTAAAAAAAAAAATAAAATAACAATTTTTAATTTAGCTAAAGAAACAATTACAAGAGATTGTCTTAGTGCTCTTAAGTTTCGTACGGACATACCAGCAGACAAGTATGAAGGTTGTCGCCCTGCTGCGAAAGACCTACATCTAGCACACTACGTCAACCATACCATCAAAGAACATGACGTAAAACGAGACTTCTTCTCGCATGTCACTTTCTGTTTTTGTTTTCTGGACCATCGCTGTAATGGCGCACAATCATTGGTAAGATCGAGTAAAATAGTGATATTAGCTATTGTGATTTTAACTTGTATCAAAAGATTCTTTTAACCTTTTAAATAATTTGTTAAACAGAGTGCCTTGTAATTTATAAAGCGTAGAGTAATTTTTTTACAATGTTCAAAAAATTTAAAAAGCATGTAATGTGTCTTGTAATATGTATGTTATAATTATAAACGATATCTGTGCAGCTTTTACTAAGTTTTCCACTTATACATCTTAGAGATGATAACATAGTGTTTCCAACCAAAGCTTCAAAAAGCGTTGAACTTGTGTTCATACTTAAAAAAAATTAGAAAATTATATAAAGATTTGATATTCAATACAAAAAAATGTAACTATTTATAAAAATGCTGTAATTATCAGGGACCGAAAATAACAGTTTCAATTTCAAAAATTTTGAAGAAAAAAAGCAGCAACAAAAAGTTGTCTAAATTCATATTTGAGTATATAATTATGATTCCAACAACTTTCATTATAAATATTATGGATGCGTTGTATATATGAGCGTTTTAAAATAAAACTCAAAAAATAATAATTAAATTTGCTTTATATTATGTTCATCAGAAATAATTATCATTTGCCCTTTATTCTAAAACACACAATTAACTATTATTTTTATTTTTTATATATTTTAAATCCGGGCTTAGGTTTTCATTTTATGAAAATGTTTTTTTTTTATGTTTTATTAATTTAATATATAATTAATAAATTTAAAATTATAATTTATCCTCCATTGTTTGTTCACTTTAAAAAAATGTTCCTTTTGAATTTCATTTCAAAGAGAGAGACATTTTTGGTTTTTTGTTTTGGATATATGTTTATTTACATGTATTTAAATATGTAATTTCTTTTTTTGTTTATTCTTTGTTTATGCATTGAAGATTGTCTACGAAGTAGACCGAAATATCTGTAATTAAAATAATTTTTTAAATTTTTTAATAAAAATTAAATATAACTAAATATTTAACACTATTTAAAAAGTGTAATTATTTATTTTATTTAAAAAAACATTTTCATAAAGTGATGTGTTAAATAAACGACCTAAGCCGGGTTTAAAAATATATAAAAACTAAATAAATTTTGATCGTAATAAAAATTTATTATTATTTTTGCTTTAAAAATATAAAACTCAAGAATAACTCTTATTTTTGAAATCAAAATATAACTCACACTGGTCTGCCAAATATATTTAAAAACGATATTATAAAATACATTTTTCATATAAGCAAGTTGTTTTTGTTATTTCATACAAAATGTATTAAATGCATAAATAAAAGGTATATGATAATAATTATTTTTGATGAATATAATATAAAGCAAATTTAATTATTATTTTTTATGTTTTATTTTAAAATGTGAATGATAACTGTCACGATCCCTGATAATTATAGTAAATAGTATTTAAATCTTAGAAAAGCTGCAAACCATTCATATCTAAGATAAAATATCTAAAAAGTATATTCGCCAATCTTCCGTCCATGTTTTTTCGAATAAAGGTTTTCGTATATGCCGTCCAATATATCGAATAATTATTACAGCTCTTTATCATTTAATAGTAAATTAGAATTTAAGTAATATGAACCATTCCATTTACAAATTGTGAAACAAACGTAAAGAAATAAAGTTTTTTTTATAATATATTTAAAAATAACGAAGTTTTTTCTTAAACAATAAAATAAGTGATTTTGTAAAATACCATCACAAAGAATACATATTACATAGTGAAACTAATATCTCGAAGATTTTTGGGTCCACGGAAGTTATAGTTTGCAATAGTTGGATGATCGTTAATAAAATTGGAATATACTGTCGCTAGACGTAAACATTCATCAAGAGTTAGCTCAAATGGACGTAAGGTATCCTTAACATCAGCTAGCTTAAATAGTTCATTTGTAACTTCTTCACGATTATCTGGTGGAAATAAAGTTGCGTAGCCACGACGACAATATTTTTGTCTCATGTGAAATATATGTCTCATAACTTTTTCAACCAAATCAAATGGTAAATCTGTTTTAGGCGTTTTTAATGGTATCAGCTTAACTACGCCAACGTCAACTTCTGGCTTGGGGACAAACGCTTTACCTGGTATTAAAAACTTCATAACTGGCCTCGTCCAAATTTGAGACATAACTGATAAACGACAACGTTGTTCATGTCCCGTAGGTGCACAAATGCGTTCAGCTACTTCTTTTTGAAATGTTAACGTCATACATGTGTCGTATCGTCGAAAAGCACCGCGACGTAATGACAAATCCTTGAACCAATTAATAAGCAAACGTGTTGATATAGAAAACGGAAGATTACCAATGAGATGCAAACGTCGTGTAAGATCGGTTACCGCTTCCTCAACGTTAAATTTCAATATATCATTATTGTGAATATCTATATTTATATTCAGCGGTGATGCACAATCTTTCAGTAATTCCAGCGTGGGAAGAAATCGTATATCTTTTTCTACAAGTATTAGACGTTGTGGTTGGCGACGTATTATAGAGCGCGTAATGCCACCTGGTCCAGGTCCAACTTCTAATACAATATCTCTATCCTGTATATCGCCTGCACATTTAACGATTTTATCTGTTAAACGCTCGTCCATTAGAAAATTTTGACTCAATTGCTTAATTGCTTGCAATTTGTAGAGCTTAACAAGATCACGAATGGTTGGTAAAGGTGGTAAGCGCAATCCACTACTGAGAACGCGTGCTGTAGCGGTAGACATTGTGTACCTTATAAATATATAATTAATATAGTGCTAAATAAAAATATTTTATATACTTACTTAATTATTTATTTAGCATGCAGTATTCTTTGTGTAAAAATATTCTTTTAGATTTTGTTACACAACACTTACAATTAGAAAACTTAAGAAATAACGTTAAGATAAGTATTTTAATTAGAAACTTTTTTTGGTTCTTCAAAATCGTCCAGGAATTTTTCCTGTTGCACTGAGAGCATGGAATACGCGTATATTCCTAAAACAGAAACTCCTAGAACACCAGCTGTGAGCAAATTATTACGCCGAACACGCTGCAATTTCGTTACTCTTGCTATGTTTTGTTCTTCAATTATTTTCATGAACTCCAACTGAGCCTTATCCAATTTGAGTGCTTTTTCGGCGTATTTCACTTTAGGTGGTTCCGGCGCGGACATTATTTGCTTTTATAGCAATTTATTTGATAAAAAATTTAACAAATGTTAGTTCACCGCATGAAACTAAAGAAAATATTGCGTTATCGAATGACAGCTGTTATATGACAAGTTTATTAATTGGCACAGCACCATCTGTAGTCAAATAATATAAGTTTAACACTACTGCACAGTTGGATATTCACTAATTTTTACTAAACAAACTGCGAATTTTAAAAACTAAAATAAATATATTTTCTTATTATATATTTAATTTTTTTTCTTCTAAAAGGCTTTAAATTAAAGCTTCAATTATAAATTATTTTTTATAGCTAAATATTAGTGTAACAATGTTCAGTAGTTTTGCTCCGCCACTGTCTTAACACTGCATTCAACAACTAATGTTGTTTCTGTTTATATTTTGTTGTCGTTTTCCCCAAATAAGAAAATTGGTTTCCATAAAGCAAATGCAGAATTCAGTTCACTTCTGTGGCTCGACGAGTGTGGAGCATTGGTTTAAAGTTCGGTTCTCGTTTAGTAGCAGAAGTGTATAATAAAGAGATGAAATTAAAAAAATCATTAATTAATTGTTGTTTTGTTTGTATACTGCCATATATTGTAACAAAATAAAATTTCTATTGTGGTTTGTTTTTGCAAATAAACAAAAAAACATTGATTTTAAAAGTAAAACCAGTTAAAAAAAGTTTAGTGAATCGAATTTTATAAAAAAAAGTTTTATAAATAAAATTCAAGTAAAATTTAAAACGTTTTCAACTAATTTTCCGAAAAATACACAATATAATTATAATAAATATTATTTTTACGTCGTTAATTAAAGGAAAACTTTTTTCCTATTTGCTACGAAAACAAAAAGCAAAGCAAAAAAGTAAGTGTAAAAACAACAACAACAACAACGCCATAAGAAAACAATAATGCAGAAATCAGCTGTGTACCCAGTGTTACATTACCAGCACTGTGTGTTGCTCCCCCCTGTTCGCTCTTCCTAACAATACGAACTACTTTGTTTTGTTTTTTTTATGGCTTTTTTTCATTTTGTGATTTTGTTTATATTCGCATATATTGTGAAATATTACATTCAAGTTGTTTGAATATCTTCCAGCTTTTAGCCTGATTTACGAAGCTTTGTATTTCGTTAAGAAATTACAGGAAGCAAAATGAAACCTGAATGCATAATTTATTTAATAAACAATTTGAAATTTTTATGAAGTTATAAAGATTAAAATAATGTTAAATATTGATTTTCAATAGGTAATTTCAATTGTTTAAGTAATGCAGACCACAATGAATATGTTTTTATTTCGATACAGGGTCTATAGAAACGCAGGGTCAGTTTCATCAATAATTTTAAAAATCATTGCTATGATGTGATGTGAATTTATTTGGTAGTGACTTCGTTTAAACCAAAATAAAATAATTTATAAATTAGCCAAATAAATATATAACCATATATATATATATACATATATATATCTACATATGTATAAATTTGGCGATGGTTTTACATAAAGAAAATATCCTGTGTGTGAGCTGTCCATATCTTTTCAAATAAAGCCCTCGTCATAAATTTTAATTAAATTGCTCGCATTAAGACTGAAACTAGTCATTTCTAGGACAAACTTCTCTAGCTGATTGTTTTTTTTACTTTTTTCTTATGATCCGTTTATGTCAAGGCCTAGGAGACGAAATCCATAATTATGTTACATTAAACTGTGACTGTTCACAATTTAAAGATTACTCCGATATAAAGAGATTTTATATCTCTTATATAAAATACTCCGATTTTATATTATTTTAATTAATTGAATTTCTGGCTGACCATACAGCTTTTTCGAGTATTGCCAAATATCCATCATCTGGTCTTGGAATTATTTCGTATATTTAATTATTCGTAAATAATTTTTTGAGAGTGCAAGTGCCAGGAATCGAACTCGTGTCCTGCCAAATTTTAAGCTCAGAGTCAGTGCTCTTAACCAACTGAACCAAAGTCATACTTGACTTTTAAGTTCATATATTGGCTGTATATATTGTTAATTGGCTGTGAAAGTTTTCACTTGCTGTGTTTATATTAGAACGAAATCATAAACTAGCTATAGAATAATTTAATTATTTAATTATATTTTAATTTTTAATTGTTAAATTTTAATACTATTCTGTTTGTAGAGATATTATTTGTTGCTTGATTTATATATTCTTTCTTATGTATAGAACCTAATCTAGGAACGTAGTACTGAGGAAGTCACGCTAATATTACTCCACGAGTCGCACGGGCGAGATGAATATTTTGTGAATATAAGTTACTGCGATAGTAATTTGAAATGTCATTTAAGGACGTGTGCGAGTTAGGCTAAGTTGATGCTAAACCAAATGGGAGATTTTTTGGGATTTTTTGCACTGCACACATTTAGCCATTTATCAACACGTATCGACACATCACTACATTATCGGCACAACTTAGTATTTCCCTCATTTAGAACGCAACTTAGCCTAACTCGCACACGACCTAAATATGTATGTCATTTTGTTGTATTTAAAATTTCGAATATTTTTTATACTTGACCTATTCAAAAGAAATTATATTATGTATTTATTAATTTATTAAAATTAATAAAAAAACATTTTGGGAAAAATTTGGTAGTTCGGATTAATTCTTCTAGTTCAGAATATGCTTAACTTATCTACTTAGCGTCATTCTCAATGGGTACCTATTTTACAGTCTTAAATTCTGAAGGTACCGGAAAAAAAGTTTGAATTTAAACTATTGAGCTAAGTGTTACTGTATGTTTAATAATTTATATTTATATAAAAGTTATTAATTATATATAGTAGTTTATAGTAGTATGTATGTTTTTATTATAAATATTATTTTTAATATTATTATATCAATATAATTGCAGAGATTGCAGCCGTCCTATAAAATTTCTGAACTAAATAATATTCAATAATATAACACACTTCGAAATTATATTTAATCAAAAATACAGAAACAATTTACGGATTATCTTCAACGCGATTTGGATTAATAAGTTAAATAACAAAGAAAAAAATTACGATGCCATTCATTTCAAAAGATTGGCGTTCACCAGGTGAAGCGTGGGTCAAAACCGACGAGGGATGGGAAAGGCTTAAAGTACTGGAGTGTGGTAAAAGAAAAAGGTAATTAATTACATAAGTAATACCCTTTGTTCTAACTATGATATTATAATATTTTTTATTTAATACACTGTGAAAATATATCATTTGTATAAGTTTATTTAACTTTCTGATATCAGAAATAAGCAATTTTAGATAAAAAGTAGACACAATTTTTTTTTATTATTGACATTATTTCAATAGACGAGCAATTCAATAAGTACTGAAATTTATGCAATAGTAAAAACTATTCTAAACGTAATCATTGCTTTACGTTTGAATTTCGATTAATATAAAATAGTAAGTTGATTATACCGGTGATACTAATGATCCACTTACGCCTATAATTCCATTAATTGCCGTATAAGAACCTTTGCCAAAGCCTAGAATGTTCCTTAAAGGAAGGTTCCAGAGCTGGTCAAGATCCTTGAGCCTGTGAGCATAGTCAAAAGAAACGGCGCATACGCTGGACCGTAACACAGCAGATGTGAGGAACTTTCATCATCCATATGAAATAGTATCTTATTAATAAAATTTTTGGTGTTTTGATATGCTCGAGTTTTTATATTTTTACAAAAATCTAAAGATTGTTTATTAGAATTTGACTACTATATGAATAAGAAACTACTATGCATATTCTTTGTGACTCTACACTTTTAATAACGCATAGAAGAAATATCGAATTTCAGTCTCCAGAACAGATTAGGAGTTCTTCTCTAGATCTTCTGGACTTCGTTCACAAAGCTTTATAGGGCTTTGTGTAATTATTAGTGAAATTGGTATAATTTCATAATAATAAAATAATATTAGAATATGACATTATTGTTTTAGTAATATTTCTAAATTTTATTGTATTAGCTTTAGTGAGTGCACGATTATTCATTGTGTTAGCTTTTTACTTGTGTTACAGTGTGACGAAGTACTTAAATCTATCTATGTATATATCTATGTATATATATTATCATTGTATATTATGAAATATAAGTTATATTGTGTGGTGTATATATTTTTTAAAATTTTGCGGTTTTAAATTTTTACTAAAAATATATTATATTATAAATATTATACATTATATTAATCTGTCGACAGTGGATACACTTGGCGTCAAACTTTTCATTCATTCTTGGATTTACTTTTGATTCATGAAACCCGTTAAAATGCAAGTGCAAAGTATTAACCGTTTGTTTTATTTACTTATGTTTATTTGACATTTATTTATGTCAAATACGTGTTCTAATAGTTTTTTTATAAGACATGATCTTAAATTCAACTAATATAAGGCGTATTCGGTGGCTCGCAAGTACGGCAAAAAACAGCAAGTTGTTGGCCTATGCAGGCCTATACTGGCCGCAATGTATGCAAAACAACAACACTATTTTCTCTACCTCGGCCAGCATAGTTATGCGGGCCAACCACATCGGCCAGTAAAAAAAAAAATGTTACCAACGCAATAAGCGAACTATTGTGAACCTTCATTGAAAATTCCAACGAATAGTGCAATCAAATGTCAAAAATTGAGGAAATAAAAATTCAAACAGAATTCAAAAATTTGAAAAATCTTGAAAAGTAACGAAGAAATAATAAGAATGGAGAAATCGTAAGTATTAAGCACATTGAATTTTTTATTATGTTAGTTATTACCAAGTAACATTTATTTTATTTCATTTAATTTGTAGTTTACATACGTAAAATTAATAAACAAACATAATTTTTGAAGTTTTTCTAAAAAATTTTTTTATAGAAATACACGCAAACTATGGACCACAAAGGAAACGAAGTGTTTTCTAGAGTGCTACTTGACACGAACATTCATAACATTTAAAAAATTCGTGAAATAACTTGCATCCCTCGGCCGCTGCAAAACGTTGCTTTCTTCTCCCAACATCGTCAGTACCTACAAAAATTTACTTATCTTAGTGTTTTATTTTTAAATTTCCAATATTCTTACCATTCCTTTTGATTCCGTGTTCATTTTAATTTTATAATATTTTTATATAAATATATTTGATTTATATGCACATATACAAAATTTGCTGTTTGTCAAAACAAAACATTTGACAGTGATGCCAATGACTCGCGTGGCCAACATAGGCCAACATGCATTTTTTGCCGTACTTGCGAGCCACCGAAAAGGCCTATAGTTTAGAGTAACGCCAAGCTATAAGCCAAGAATAGAGTTTATCTTGTGAATATAAAGTTGTCGTTCTTAATGAGTGAATAGTTACTTCTTGACGTTTTCTTTAGGCGTGAGGATTGTGTATTGTGTAGGATTGTGTAGTTTAGTGTACACAAAGTCTCAGCGATTAAAATTAGGTTTTAAAACAATTACTTTAGGTATCCATTAATGCAAATAATTTTAAATTGAAAAATCTTTGTTTTCTATATTGGTCAACAAAATTATTTATTTCTAATATACTACCGGCCCCTAAATAATATTTGTACCTAGCATCCACATGCGTAATCTCTCACAGCAAAGTATTATTCAGTTATTATATAGTTATATTATTATTCAGTGTATAAAGAATTTGAAATTTATAAATAATATCACTGCAAGAGTTTTTGGCAAAATAGTTAACGCATGTCATCTACAAAGCACTATTCGTACTTAGTAATCCGAGTGACTTTTTTCTGTTCTCGAAGTTAAAATTAACAAAACGTTTGAAACTAATTACATCCATAAAAAAAAATTTTTGAATGCTGGATCAGGTCCGTTTGACGAGAATAATGGTATCCGTTAGGATTGAATACTTCCATGCTTTTATTTGACAATAGATGCAATTATAAGAAACTCGAATAAAAAGTTTTTTCTTTTGAAAAATTAAAAGATCTGAAGTATCCTGACAAAACTTAGTTACGTAAGCTTAGTTTAGCAGTACAATATGTAACCCTTAAGCACAAATACCAAGATAACTGGCTTAAATACATGCGCGAAAAAAATCAAAGTTTCAAAAAGTGACTAAAACATTGTGTGATCATCGGGTTTAACGAAAAATATCTCCGATGGTATTAATATAGAATGTGTAAAATATACACACTACCTTGGAAGCAATGTTATAAATAAAAGTGATGCAGACAAAGATGTAGTAGCACGCTTAAGTATGGCAAAAGCTGCTTTTAATTAACTCTCGAATCTCTGACAGTCCAGTCAAATAACTCTGACAACATACCTGCACCTGTTGAACTCAAACATTGAATCAATTTTTTATGTGTGTGAAATGTAAAAGAGTTTTAGGTAAATACATAATTGCCTACAAGTCTTTATTAACAAATGTATGCGTCGCATTCTTAAAATACGGTTGGTCAGAGAGAATTTCCAATATGAACTTGTAGAATCTGGCCAACCCTATCGCAAGGTACATATGTAATCCGAAAACGTAAGACCGGTAAACCACGTACCTAGGCAGGTATTGCAGTAGAATCCACAGGGCAGTTCCGTCAGAATATTGCGTCGTACTGTCGGTAAAGAAATTGATGATGCCGGATATACATAGAATGATGCCATCAGAACAAACAGAATACGATTTAGATCGATAGTGGAGGCTCTATGCTCTAGTAGGAGATAGTGAGGTAATAAGTAAATGAGTAAATTATAGAAACATTACACGTAAATGTCAGAGAAACTTATATATATCTTCTGTGCTGACAACGTAACCTCGTTTAAAACATAAACAATGGTTATCTAGTTGGTTTAAGTTTTTATTAATTGTTCTTTTGAATCATATTCTACTAGTCTACGTGCATTGTTTTTAGCTGCAATTGTTTTTATTAACGTATATATCACATAATCAAAAAATGTTGAACAGTTGTTTTATTATCACTAAAAATATTGATTTTGTCGATTTAAAAATAATATATCTTTGTTGGTTAGAAATGGAATAACTGTTTTACTAAACAATAAAGCAGTCTGAATTTCACATCAGGGAAGTTAGTTTTTTTGTCATATTTTGTTCTTTATTCATACATGCTTTATTTATAATTAAATATGTTATTTATTACAAATGCATATATAAGAGCTTTATATCTTTAGAACATCATTGACTAAGATTATCATATTATCTCAGTCAGAGCTTAACTCCATTCAATGGGTAGAAAGTATACTGCTGTCTGCCGATTTATGATCAAATAATCTGTACCAGAGATTATTAAATTCATATTTAACATTATACAAAATTATTATCTCAGTCAGTTCTTAACTCCATTCAATGGGTAGAAATTATACTGCAGTCTGCAGACTTATGATCAATTGATCTGTAATAATACCAGAGATTAAAGATTTCGTATTCATATTTCTACATTATAAAAAATTTATAAAATTTATAAATTTATATTTTTAATAATTGTAAGTAAATTTTGTTTTTTGGAATAATACGTCCATTGGAGATCACATTTATTGAACTAAATAGCTTTTTCGAGCAGATGTATCTAACTTTTTTAGAGTTGAAGTATCTGATATAAAATATGGTTATTTTTTTTTTATAAAGATTGTTTTTAATTTTTCAAAATAAGTTTTGCATGCAGTTAAACACAAGTCAATAACCATAAATGCTAACAAAAGAAAAAGTTTTAATTGCGACTAAATACGTCACACTTAACGCTTTGCAATTGCACTCACGTATTGCTTATAGTATCTATACTTAGTATCTTTTGTGTCTACGTAAATGTGCATTGCATTTGTGAACGAAATTAATCAGTTATACAATATACTAAAATGCCGACGACCACATTAAGGTTAACGTATTTACGAGCCATCAACTCAAATCATCTTCGACATTAACCATTATTTCATTAATGCTATTGGCCATCAGAAGATGACAGGGCTTTTACTTTTCGTACGATTTTCTATGTAAGTACAATAAATTGTGAAAAAAATTAACACAATTTTTTTGTTAAAAATTTATAACAAAAATATTTGTAATAAAAGAGAAATTGGTTTCAATAATTTTACTATCTGAAATTGCTGGAGAGGGAAAAATTAACCTAAACGCATTTTGATTAAATCTGTAAATGTTTACTTGCCATTGAAGACAGCTCTGAGGTTAATATATATCTGTCATGTATAGATAGATTTTGAAAGGGTTGAGAACTAGTTACCACGACACTACATCCTTTAAGGATTATTGTGACTGTCATGTGTAAATTATGCATCCTAGGAAAAACTAAAAGGGTTCTTTATTAAACACATTTCTTTAAGAGTTTTCATCCCATTTAAAATAAATCTATTCTACTCAAAAATAATATAAAAAATAGTTTATATTACGAAGTGTCTTCATATTTTGGTACTATAAAGAAGTAATATGTGTTTAATTATTTATATAAAAAAATGGCATCTTTTTTAACATTTGGAATTATGGATCTTTTTAAGATAATATGAGAGATGATTCGCTTTAAATATATATACACATTATAGTCTTTATACTATAATACACTATATGAAATGAACTATGTTTTCGTTAATTCTAATGAAATAATTGAACTTTTGAATAAAATATGTATTGATAATGAAGATAATTAAAACGAATCCGATAGAAAATTAACAGATTATATAAATCATTACTATGTCATAAATGTTTAGAATAAAGTGTATTTAAATTACCATTATAACAATACAAATTGTTTCGGTCTTTGTTATATGTTATACAGTCAAACATCCATAACTCGAACTTCTATAACTCGAATCAAAAATAGTGCACCAAGGTTTTAGAGAGCAAATTACATACAATTCTGCTTTCATAACTCGAACTTCTTTAACTCGAATTTCTTTATTACTCGAACACAAACTTTGTTCCGTGCCGATGGGAATATAGGAAATTGCATTCTGTAAGTCGAATTTTTGTTTTTTTTTCCAGCAAACTTGCTATGAACGAATAGATAAACGATTCTACTTAAGATGTTCTTTCTCAAACTCCCTTTCTTCCCCATCAAAAGTAGGGGTGTTTCAAAAATTTCTTAAAATTGTCCTGAAGAAAAAAATCGTTTCAAGAAAATTCTTTTTTAAAGAAACTGGGTTAAAGAGATTCGTAAAGGATTTTTATGGTAAAAACGTTTATCTATTTATTGGTAGTAAGTTACTGAAGATAAAAAATTTTTATATCTTAAAATTTTTATTTACAATTTACAATATTTGAATTGTAACCTTTTATTGATAGAGATTTAAAGATTTAGGATAAAAAGGAGCTTCAACTCTGGAACTCCAAATTTAAATAAAATTGTTGAAAACTCTAAAAAAGATACTTCAGTGTTGCATATATATATATAATATAATTGAATATATAATTTCACTGAATTCTTTGTTCCAAGTATTAAGTATTTACTCCTTATCTGCAACGAGGTTAGCTGCATTATTCCTGCAGATATCAAATCATGGCTTATATAAAATCAAATCAAGGTTTATAGTCTCTCGTTTTTTTTTATTGAAAGACTAAAAATTATTTAAAATAGTTATATATATCAATAAAAAAAGTGTAAATATCTTAATAACGAGGTTCAATAATGTATAGCTTTCGTAACTAATTTATCTGTAAATTTTAAATTATTTATATTATTGCTATAACAAAAATCATACTGAATTTAAAAAATGAGGATACTTTTCACCTAGGTAAAGAACTGAAACTGCAGATAAAAGATATTAAATTTATAGATATAACTTTTATTAAAAGTTTTCTTTATAACTTCAACAAAATATATATATGAATGCAAACTGTAGATTCAACGAGGAGAATGAAAAGTCGGCCACACATGTGCTGTTAGAATGTCCTGTCTTAATGCACATACGGAATAGACTCCTGGGAATGTATACCCTTACAAAAGAGACAATAAAACTCTTTAAAGTAGGTTATAAACTACTTTTTATCGACGCAACAGAAGGGGGCAAAATAAACTCGTCGGTCGCAGTGCCATATACCATAACACAATTAAAATCTTTACAAATTTACTG